ATGGTAACCACGGCGAGGACCGCGATGATGACGATGACGATGGTAACCACGGCGAGGACCGTGATGATGACTATGACGATGGTAACCACGGCGAGGACCGCGATGATGACGATGACGATGGTAACCACGGCGAGGACCGTGATGATGACGATGACGATGGTAACCACGGCGAGGACCGTGATGATGACGATGGTAACCACGGCGAGGATCGTGATGATGACGATGGTAACCACGGCGAGGACCGTGATGATGACGATGACGATGGTAACTACGGCGAGGACCGTGATGATGATGATGACGATGTTGACCGCAGTGAAGGCTGTGAGGATGACGATGACCGCGGCGAGGACCGTGATGATGACGATGACGATGGTAACCACGGCGAGGACCGTGATGATGACGATGACGATGGTAACTACGGCGAGGACCGTGATGATGATGATGACGATGTTGACCGCAGTGAAGGCTGNTCTCTCTCTCTCTCTCTCTCTCTCTCTCTCTCTCTCTCTCTCTCTCTCTCTCTCCTTCTCTCTCTCTCTCACTCTCTCTCACTCTCACTCTCTCTCACTCTCTCTCTCTCTCTCTCTCTCTCTCTCTCTAAAAATAAATGAATAAAAGAGGGGAACGTAAGCATATACGACTCAAGAGTAAGTAAATAAATAAATAAATAAATAAGTGAAGTGGAAGGCGCANGAATAAAAGAGGGGAACGTAAGCATATACGACTCAAGAGTAAGTAAATAAATAAATAAATAAATAAATAAATAAAAGAGGTGAACGTAAGCATATGCGACTCAAGAGTAAGTAAATAAATAAATAAATAAATAAATAAATGAAGTGGAAGGTGCATACGGCTTACGAATGAATGAATAATTTCATACATAAATATAGGTAAACGTATATGTCTGTGTGTACAAGTGTCTACGTCTGCATACACTCTTTCCATCTCTCTCTCTCTCTCTCTCTCTCTCTCACTCTCTCTCACTCTCTCTCTNTCTCTCCCCTGTCTATCTAGCTATCTATCTCTATGTCTCTCTGGCTTTCTCTGCCTTCCTACTACACTGCCACTTGTTCTGACATTCCCCATTGTTCTGACCTTCCCCATTGTTCTGACCTTCCCCATTGTTCTGACCTTCTCCTTTGTTCTGACCTTCTCCTTTGTTCTGACCTTCTTCGTTGTTCTGACCTTCTCCGTTGTTCTGACCTTCTTCTTGTTGTTCGTTGCAGCTCCGGAGGTTCTAGCGCAGAAGCCGTATGGGAAAGCCGTTGACGTCTGGTCCATAGGTGTCATCGCCTACATCCTGTAAGTACGCCCGTCGCCGCCGGCGCCCCCTGCTGTTGTTAAACTCGACACTAGCGCCCTCTGGTTGCAGCTTCCATTAGCTCAGCAGCATCCCCGGCCGTCGTCAAACTTTTGATGATAGCGCCCTCTAGTTGCAGCTTTGGTCAGTTCAGCAGCACCCCCTGCCCCCTGCCGGGCCTTGACGTGATGCTAGCGCCCTCTATATCGTTGCAGGCTGTGCGGCTATCCTCCGTTTTATGAAGAGGTCGACGCAAACCTGTTCGCGCAGATACTGCGCGGCGAGTACGAGTTCGACGCCCCCTACTGGGCCTTAACACGATGCTAGCGCCCTCTATATCGTTGCAGGCTGTGCGGCTATCCTCCGTTCTACGACGAGGACGACGCAAACCTGTTCGCGCAGATACTGCGCGGCGAGTACGAGTTCGACGCCCCCTACTGGGACGAGATCTCCGAGTCGGCGAAGGACTTCATACGACACCTGATGTGCCTGGACACGGCGATACGCTACACGTGCAAGCAGGCTATACAGCACCCGTGGTGAGCCGCGCACGCACGCACGCATGCACGCACGCACGCACGCATCCGTTATAAATATAAATATATAAAAAATAAAAAAAATATAATATAATTTAAAAAAAAATTTTAATTAAAAAAAAACCACATTCGCAGGCACGCACGCACGCACGCACGCATCCGTTATAAATGTAAATATCTAAAAAATAAAATAAAATAAAACAAAATAATTAAAGATGAATTTACTAAATAAAATATAAACACAATCGTTCCGCGAGCCATAACCGCGCGGAGACATGCTCTCTTGTTGATCGTCTGCGTTTCTGCGAACAGGATCTCAGGTGGCGCTGCTCTGGAGAAGGACATTCATGATTCTGTGAGCGCACAACTGAAGAAGAACTTTGCGAAAACCAAGTGGAAGGTAAGAGAGCGAGCGTATACGGCTCACGAATAAATAAACACATCGATAAATAAATNTCTCTCTCTCTCTCTCTCTCTCTCCCCCTCTCTCTCTCTCTCCCCCTCTCTCACTCTCTCATCATGTATTGCAGCAAGCATACAATGCGACGGCAGTCATACGGCGCATGCAGAAACTTGCCATGAACAGCACCGCCAGCAGCAACAACAGCCCGTCGAAGCTCACCACATGATTCCTCGTCCTTCGGAGGATGCTGCGTCGCCATGGAGACCCCGCCGACGGAGGCAGAAGACGGCCGCCGCGACGACCAGACTGTCAAAGGTTGAAGGTCAAAGGTTGAGGGTCGCTGCTTGACCCCTCGCCGACCTCGTGAATTTCGCGCGCGCGCGAGAGCGAGCGAGCTTGTTTGCTGTTGCGTTACTCCTCCCCTGCCCGCCGTTGTGTCTGTGGAGCGTACCCCCCACGCGTGCGTGCATGCATGCGTGCGCTGCATGCGTGCGTGCGCGTGCGTTTGTACAGCATGCGTGCGTGCGTGCGTGTGCGTGCGTGCGTGCGTGCGTGTGCGCGTCGGTCGGTCGGGTTGTGGTGGGAAAACGAAACACGGCTCGTCCCGCGTCGACCCACACGGTCATTCCAGTTCCCTAATCTCTTACCGTGTCCGGCCTAGCTATCGGCTACCCATAATCTTCAGCTACCTGTTCCAGTTGTTAACCATCCCTGGTGGTTGTGCATGCCTAGCTACCGGCTACCCATAATGTTTAGCTACCCCTTCCAGTTGTCAACTATCCCAGGCGGCTACATATGCCTAGCTATCGGCTACCCATAATCTTTAGCTACCCGTTCCAGTTGTTAACTTTACCTGTCTGTTGTATACACCTAGCTATTGGCTACCCATAACCATTAGCTATCCCTTTCAGTTGTTAACTATCCCTCCCAGCTTTTAACTATCCCTGTCGGGTGTATATGCCTAGCTATTGGCTACCCATACCTTTTGACTACCCCTTCCAGTTGTTGTATACACATACATATTAGCTACACCTAGCTATTGGCTAACCCTAACTATTCGCTATATATATAGATGCAGCCAGACTTTGGCCACCTACAATTATCGGCCACCCCTAGCTATCAGCTCCCCCCCCCCCCAGCTAAGGAATGCAGTTAGGCATTGGCTACGAGTAGCTATCGGCTATTCTTCTCTGTTGGTTACGCTTTTTGATTAGCCACTCCTAGCTATTGGCTACCCCCTCCTCCCGCCATAGGTAATAGATACAGCTAGCCAATTGGCTGTCTTCACCTACTGCATACGCATTGCACACAACACCTACCTACTCGGCTACCAAAGAAACGGCTATGCAGGAATAACCATGGCAACGGAATGCCTCGCGATCGCACGCAGCGCCTCCTGGCGAGCACGCTCACCCCACCTCGCCGTGGCCTCGCGGTTGCCGTGGTTTCATTTATATATTATATATCCCAGTATCTCGAGCCACAAGTAATATATTATCATATTATCATATATGCGCATATACGTGTGTGTGTGTGTGTGTGTCAGTATATGCACGTGTGTGTACGTGTGTATGTGTGTACGTGTGTGTGTGTGTGTGCGCGGATGCCGCCTGTTGAATATTTTATCTATATTTTATATATTTTCCGCAGCTACTGATGTTATATTCATTATACGGTTATTTTTATTTCATTATGTATACGAAGACTTTATTGCATACACGATTCTCTCTCCCTCTCTCTTGCTGTCCCTCTCATTCTCTCCTTTCTCTTTCTTTCAATCTCTGTCTTTCTCCTCTCTCTCTCTGTCTCTCTCTCCCCCCTCCCTGATGCTGTCCCTCTCTATCTCTCCTTCTCTCTCTCTCCCTCTCCATCTCTCTCTCTCTCTCTCTGTCTCTCTCTCTCTCTCCCTCTGTCTCTCTCTCTCTCTCCCTCTGTCTCTCTCTCTCTCCCTCTGTCTCTCTCTCTCCCTCTCTTTCTGCCCATCTTTACCTGTCCCCCTCTCTCCTGATCTATTGCACGTTCTCTCTTCTATCGAGCGTTTTACACAGCAGTGCACGATAGACACAAACCACACTAGGCCACCTCAAATACACACAAGACAGCGAAGCCACACTATGGCACCTGCACGTGTAGCTGCTTCTCTCGTGAAAATATTCCTATTTTTGTAGTCGTAGTTTTTTTCTCGCATTTTTTACTCCCTCTCGCCGTAAGATGGAGCCACTGTTGCTCTGCAGGGGGGATGGGTCACGCATGAGCATGTATCCGAACATATAGGAATGGTCCCCCCCCCACTGAATGAGTTTCGGGGGTTTTTTGCACCTGGGCCCCCCGCCCACGCCACACGCCCTTACCATTTTTCCACACTTCACGATCCAGCTAAGCGATTTCGATTGTAAAAATGTTAACGCGCGCGTGCACATACGTACGTGCGTTCACAACAATATTTCTGCCTGTGCGCGCGTGCTTGTGTGCGTGCGTGTACACGTGCGTGTGTGTGTGCGTGTGCGTGTGTGTGTGTGTGTGTGTGTGTGTGTGTGTGCTGAAGATACAAGCATATAGTTAATTATGTAAGGCTCGCACCCTCTGAGCGTCAGAGCCTCTCGTCCCCGCCCACCGGCAGCGCGCAGAGACTCTGACGCTCAGGGTACCCGCGGAGAATTCGAGGGAAAGTTGTATTTTTGTGCATAAGACCCATATGTACCCATATTGAAATGTACAGATTTCTTAAACTACTAATGCTGACTTTTTTGATTCGTATTATATTCATTCGTTCGTTGATTAAGTGTTTCGTTTACGATTTTAAACGTCTTATTGACGATTTCGTCGGTAGCTTATACGTATATACACACGACTTATGTATATATATACATACATAATATATATATATATATATACATATAGACACATATATTATATATTAGCCAGGGACTTACGTAGCCCTCCACTGGCCAGTCTCGCACTCTAGTTTTACTCTGTTCCACATTTTTAATCAGCGTAGAAAGAAAAAATGATTTGTTTTCCGGGGAAACGGAATTTTTTTCCGCGTTCCGTCGAGCGGACGACTTCCCCCGTCGCGGCGTCGCCGGAACGGAAGAACCTTCTTACAGAGGATCTTTTAAGGAAGATCTTCCTACAGAGGAACTTTTAAGGAAGATCTTCCTACAGAGGATCTTCTAAGGAAGATCTTCTTACAGATCTTGTTACGGAGGATCTTCTTACAAAGGATCTTCTTACAGAGGATCTTTTAAGGAAGATCTTCCTACAGAGGAACTTCTTACAAAAGATCTTCTAAGAAGGATCTTCTTACAGCGGAACTTTTTACAAAGAATCTTTTAAGGAAGATCTTCCTACAGAGGATTTTCTAAGGAAGATCTTCTTACAGATCTTGTTACGGAGGATCTAAGAAGGATCTTCTTACAGCGGATCTTTTTACAGATCTTACAAAGAATCTTTTAAGGAAGATCTTCCTACAGAGGATTTTCTAAGGAAGATCTTCCTACAGATCTTGTTATGGAGGATTTTTTAAGGAAGATCTTCTTACAGCGGATCTTTTTACAGATCTTCTTACAAAGAATCTTTTAAGGAAGATCTTCCTACAGAGGATTTTCTAAGGAAGATCTTCCTACAGATCTTGTTATGGAGGATTTTTTAAGGAAGATCTTCTTACAAAAGATCTTCTATGCCGGTGGCGCCATCTT